ATCACACCCTTGCTGATTTACCCTGCTACAGTGCAAGTAAACACTTTTTCTTCATACATAACCTGGTCTATTAGATTTCTGAGACCAAGCCCCTTTTCCAGCAAAACACAACTCTCAAATAATTTCCCAGAGCCAAGCTACCGATCGCTCGCATAATTCATTCCAGCAAAGATCATCTTTTCATCAACACCTTCAAACCAATAAAGAAGATGACGCATGTTCTATGATCGCGGTCCAGACCTTTCGAGTCTCGACCTTTAAGTTATCTAGCGATAGTACGTGAACGACTATGCATTTCTTTTTTTTTTTCTTCCACCATCATCCGTACCGGTCGTCTCAAATATGTTGCACAGCCACTGCTGAATGAACACAAAGCTCCTCTGCATACCAGCAGAGCACCATGGCGCGGTTCCCCACTTTATGGGACTCATTGGAAACACTATGAAACGATGAAGAGACGCCAATATTATATGGATACGAAATTCGTAATTTAACCAGTGAACAGATCGATATCCTTCATGTGAATTATATCCACTAAGCACATAGCAATTCTACGACAACCCTGACTTTGTGTTCTTGCCATCTACATTTTTGTATTGGATCACAAACCATGTAGTTTGACAAGACGGAAAAGCCCGATGTTCAAAAGGTTTAATTTTATTGGAAAATAGGGAGGGTTGAAAAACTGGGGCAGTGTACTGCTCACAGTATTCTATGTGTGTGTGGTGGTGTGTGTGTGTGTCGTGTGTGTGGTGTTGCTGTGTCGTGTGCGCAATAAGAACAAAGAAACATTCGCGACCTGTTGGAAGGTCAGGCACGGCCGCATACACACAAACACAGTGAGGAGGAGGAGAAGAAGAAAAAAAATTAGTCTAACATTCTTTCACCCTTCATGAGCCTGCCTGCTTGGCTTTAACAACTGAGCCGTCCCCATCAATTAGTCTAGATGCTGGACTTTCATTGAGATTAAGTGACTAATATCAGTGCTTGCTTGCAAGAAAGACACTTTTCACGTCTGCCCAACAATCTGTTAAGTCAAAACACATGTGGTGATCCAAGGCAAAAAGCCTGCAAGGGGTCCTCTATGCAATGAAAAACAGGTGCTCTACTTTTTGGCCATGTAATACCCCATTTAGCCTCTGGAGCAAAGGTTATCCAGCTAATAGCTGCCTTGTGGTGCACTGGGAAGAGCCGTGCACATGGCCGGAGTAAACATCTGGGACGGATTGTACATACTTGCAACATATGCTTCAAGTTCAATTAAAATGAGGCCTTGGCATATTTATTAATCTTTTTTCCCTCTCCTCTCGCTCTGTTGCTCTCTCTCTCTTTCCTCTCTCCCCTATAGGCCTGTGCCATAAAAGAGGCCTCCTTTGACCCGTCCTTCATACTTACTCATACAATCTGAAGCTGTACCTCATATCCAATGTAAAAGACCTCATATCCAATGTAAAAGACAAATTTGTTAAGCCTTGAAACTCCATTTGTTCTGCACTTAACCAGGTTGGAGAGAGAGCAAAGGGAAGAGAGAGAGTATGTGTCAGAATGGAAAAAAAAGGCAGGGAAGGGGACGATTGAGGGAAGGGTAGAAGGAGAGTGGGAGGGGAGAGACATGTAGGTGAAGAAAAAAGAAAAATGCCCCTTTTCAACTTCCCTACAGCTCAAATGAAATGCTAACAGTTGAGGGGAGCAATAGATCAAAATGTATGAAGCCAGAGTTGGTAAATTGTAGCCTTTGTGGCGGCTGTGCTATCCAGCATCCCAGCCCTGTGTGAGCACAGAGAGCAAGGCCCTCTTATGTGGAATAATCAGTTTGGCACCAAATCTGACGGAGGCCGCAAAAGCTGCTGCTGCACCTCATTTCAATATGAAAGTCCAAAATGTATTTCATATAATCTGCAGCTTTTCAAATGCCTGTATTTTTATTTTTTCGCTGAGAGGAGGTAGGAAATGCAATGATGGAGGACAGAAGTAAAGAAGGGGTAAAAAAAAGGTTCAAGGTTGCCTGGTGCATATCTTCAGTCAGTGGCCCCCTGTACATTTCAGCCTTGGAACTTCACAGCCATGAAACTTTGCTTCTACATCACTGTGGGAGAGGATGTAATGCTCACGTATCTTTGTGTGCTCATCGCCCAGCTGGCTGCCTGGCTGACTGATTGCCTGACTTACTGGTGGGATGACTATTTGACCATCTGCACTATAAATGTGTTTTTTTAACCCTTTTGTTGCATGCTTGCACTTATGACCCTTCAAAAATGGGAGAGGTTGCAGCAAGGTTGCAGTCGAATAAGTAAATTCAGCATACACAGTGTCCTCAGGCAAAACAATTTTCAGATATCAAATTGCCTGGTCAAAGGCCTTTACAATTACCATTGAAAACGCCCAGAGTTTTCCTCCAAAAAGATCTACCAAAACAGACCATGCAATTTACCACATCTTAGCCTACTAACCTTTATATTGCTGGAGTGTGGCTGTAAGGCATCAAGTATCAGCTCAAGTAATTTCAGATTCCAGATTATTCAGTCAACATAGTTCACGGTTTTCGCAGTAAAAGAAGTGGACTTCACTTAAAGCTCAAGTTATAATTTTGTCCTTGTTCAACACTGCTAAGACTGGAGTATCAAACAGAAAATGATTTCATTTGAAGTGTGCCTTACCAGAAACCAGACAACACCAGACAACACAGTAGGTAGATAAAGACCTGTACCATTTCAATTATCATTCCCAAGTGGAACATTGAAATGGTACTGTATCCTATCCAGTGGCATTTGTTTCAGTAGCTGTTCCTACAGTGTAAACGAGCGGAGGCAGTAAAGCAGCCACCTGTTGTTACCTGATAGTGTCTGGACAAGCCCAGATGCTGTTTTACTGGGACATAAAGGAGCAGTGAACGGACCTAAATAGCTAACTAAGCACTTTATATGGGTGCATGTTCTCAGGAAGCAGAACTGAAGCACAATGTTAGTAATGTACATTCAACAAAGTGTTATATGAAGAGAAAAATAAGCATAGTGTACCAAACTGCAGTAAAAGACCAAAGCAAACCACAAGGAAAAAAGGTGAGAAATGTGCCGTGTATATACCTACAGAGGAAACTTTTTCCAAAAGGTTAAAAGGTTGTACAATCTTTGTGCATGTGTTTGTGCCTCAGGCAGTGAAAATAACTGAACAGGGGAGGAGATGGGAGGGAAAGATGGAGTCATTTCATTCGTCTGTTTGTGTTTCCGGTGTATGAAGCAGTGTCAACCCCTCCTGAGGCAGTGTGCGTACGTGTGTGTGTGTGAGTGCATCCGTTTGTGTATTTGTTTGTGTGTGAGTGCATCCCTGACACAAGACATAATTACCTTGTCATCTTTGTCAAAATCCTCATCCTCGTCCTCCAGCAGGTCCTCCATTGCTTGCTGACAGTTGCAACAGAGGAAAGAGAAAAGGGAGAAAGAGAAATAAAAATGTTTATGTAACAACTATAGTACAGATAAACATTAAAATCACACAATCAGAAAAGAGACAGACATACTAAGCTGACTGGTTATGATCATGTCTGGCAAGAGTTTGTTAAGGAGTATAGAAAGCATGCAGATAGCACAACTATTAGCTTGGTGTGTGCTAATTTTTTTATGAGCCTCAGAATGATTTAGAATTAGAATTTAATTTTAGTCTGTTGTTCAAATGTGTTGACACTTCTGGAAATGTAAGCAAATGCTCTGGCTTTGAATTTCAACGGGCCGAGGATTAAAGTCTATTCATCCACTCAAATCGCATTGCACAAAAGCATTCAAATATGTGGGACGAGACAGCAGAACTCATCTTCTGATTCTGCTTGGTCTCTTCTGACCTCTCTAACCTTTGCACTCATCTCTCACCTCTACCGTCAGCCTTGCTCTCGCTATACATTCATCTATCTACCGTCTTACACCCTCTCTCAGAGAATGATGCTCCATGAGAGAAGAAAGAAGAAAGCCTGCAGCACAGAGAGCAAGTCACAAAGAACAGCAACTATGTGCTTCAGTGGTCCACAACCGATGAAACTGGAGCTGGTGTAGCTCTGAAGCCCCAAGATACCATGATACATACTGTACAACACAAAGGGAAAAAATGACAGAGACACACTCATGCGCACACAGTCAGAATGACAAACACAAAGGCACATGTGGATACAAAGTATACTGTACAACCTAACAATGCTACATGCAAGTTTGAACTTTTCTTGTTTAGCAATAGAATTGAATTGTAGTAGAAGAATGGCACAGACCTCTATCTGTATGTGAAAAGCAAGTTAATAAACAAATGTCTTGGCATATAAGGGAAGAGCAACTTTGATGTGTTTAGTTTAGTGTGTTTAGTGTCTGATTAGTGGTTAGTGATACTTGAATTGTGTGTCTTTGCAAGTATTCACAAGTTCAAGTGTGTAGTCTGATGCCACTGAGGCAAAAACCACAGATCACTGCTGCATCTTTTATCCACCCTCTGTGTCAATCACACATCAAAGCCACAAGGTCATATTGTTGCTCTCAATTTACATAAACAAACAGCCATATCATAAGCCCTACAGCTGTCAACCTCAGAATTCATCTGCTCTCATTGTTCTACCAACCCCAACCCCCCCCCAAAAAAAAACTTCACCCAGCCTCAACATCACCACAACCCCCTAACCACCTTCAGAACAGCACAAACTAGTTTGGAGAAATCCAAAAATCATTACTTAACAAGACAATAGCTTTTGTGCTTTTTGTTTTTCCACTGGAATAAGGGGGGAAACTATGTGGCGGCTGACATAAGCCTCTTATGTAAATTCAGCTTCCCACACAAACAAAAAGGAGTTCAGAACAGCAGAGTTGAGAGGGTAGAGTCAATAGTGCGTCTGTGTGTTTGTGTGTGTGTTCTATCAATAGCTCAGAGTCACTAGGGCAAAGTATTGTGCGCGTATGCATGGCATTTCTCGTTTGAACTGTCTGACTGTGTAGCAACTGGTTATTCCCAGTCCAATGAGACTCCATCAGTGTCTAGACAAATAAGCTTGACTGTTCACAGTTCACCCTCTCTTTATTGATACAGAATACATTCACTACTACAGTATACAAATACCAAAGAGGGAATTCTTGTGCTCAGCCGAGGCAAAAGATGTAGACGTGATACTGTAAAATGAAAGCCTTCTGGCATCGCTAAACAAATGAACTATAACTGTTTATAAAGTCATCATGGTTCCTCCCAAATCCTTTCACCCGTGCCAAAATACAAACATAATGGATTCCTCCACACAGAGGCTTTACTAGGGCACGCCTGGCACACGCTCCAAACTTTAAACAAAGGGAATGAGCATGAGCTAGCTGGAGAAGCATGACCTAGAGAGACAGAGAGAATGATAGAGTCGTTTGTCTCCCTCTGCTCTCCGCTCTGCTTTCTCTCCTCTATCGCCTCTGGTTACAGAGAGAAGTCATGTTTCCTGCAATGAGACACAGTGTAAAATTAATAAATAAAAAGACATGGAACATGTCATCTGCCCTGAAGATTGCCACGGCTAAATGTGTGCACTGAAGCTACTGTCTCTGTAAGGGAGGATATAAATTACCTCAGTGCAGCCCATGAATTCCAAACATCTTTCTTTCTCTCCCTCTGCCTCTCTCTCTATTTGTCTCATTCCTTCTCTCTTTCTAAGACCTGTTTGGTGTATGATATCATTTGTCTGCTTATCCCCCCATTATCATGTTGTTTGAATTACTATCATTACAGCACGGCAGCATCAAAGCCTTGCTGTCGACAGGATCATGTAGAGCTCACATTGCCTGCAGAGCTGCTCCAGTCAATTCAATATCTACTGAGGTGGGGATTAACATATTCAGACCTATACAAATGATACAGGGATGATGCAGGCTACTCTTACAGATTACACTGCCCCATAAATACATACAAAGATGGTGATAATATAAAATACACACAAAGAATAGCTGTGAGTACAATGACATTGAGAGTTCAAACGGCTGTGAAAGTATGAATACATCTGTTTGGCCTTAGTGGCTTACACCTAAAAAGCTGATTTGCAAGAATTAACTTTCTGTTGCATTGACTCAGATCCTGGCACAAGGTCTGCTACATCACTATGATTTTCTCTCTCATACTGTACTTCCCATCAATGCATAACACTGTTTGTGAAGCACAAATTGCTGTCCATTAAAATTAATTGGAAAAAATAATTTTTATTTTTTTGTCTTTACTCTGAAAAAGAAGCCTACTTTTCTGCAAGTAGAGGTTTTGATCATGTGTGTGAATGAGCAACAAAACTAAATCATAGAGGTGGTGTACAGTATTATCCTCTTGTTAAGGTGTCTGGAATACTTCAGTGCATCCTTGCATGACTATTTCTTTACTCTGTTTTGGTCAAGGACACTGCATAGCTACAAAGCTGGAATTATGACACTCTTATGTTTTGCATCTTCATGTCAGCGGTTATATACAGCCTTACAGAGCCAGATCTTTCTCTACCATTTACTGTTGCTCTGTGCCAGCTGAAGTGTACGGTGCTAGCTAAAATCTGATTGGACTGAAATGGAAATAGTCTGGCAAAAAAGAGGAATATAAAGTAGACAAAAAGTCTGGAGTGTTTGGATCTAATGTTTTCCTGTGTAAGTGAACCCATGCTGCACAGACTGATTGTCTGAGATTTGATGAAAAGTTGTGAGAGTGGTAAAAGGCAAAAGCAGTTTTTCAAGAACTGTGTTTCAGGTAGAAAATTCTGATACCCTATTGATTGACGAGAGGGAAAATTTGTGTATGCTCTTTTTGCCTCCACAGGGAGCTTCTTGCACACCATCAACAGCACCCCTAAGGCCTTTTCAAGGACAAATAGACACATGAGTTTATTGCTGTGACCCTTACACAATAGTCTCATGGCTCTGTAGTGGTATGCTTAATGTAATAATAATGATAAAGTGAAAAGAGCCAAACAATAACCCAGCTTTAAAAATATGGAAACTATATTCCAAGCATTAAGTTCAAAGAATTTAAGGGTAGCATTTCATTTTTCAACCAGGATTAGTTTGTTTCGCAGCCACCGTAGATTCTCCTACATACTGGGTATGTAATATTCATTTGGTCGCAATCTATAATTTCACTGCTAGATGCCACTAAATCCTACACACAGGCCCTTTAAACAAAATGTCTATCTCTGTAGGGTCCCTTCCATAATGTTGTCACACACAATTGCCCCAAAGAATTACACATTACGGCCCATTTCGTGGCTGCAGCTACCGTGCTCTCACTCAATACTGGACCAATTGCAAAAAACAAAGGAAAATAGGGTTGAAAAATACCCAAAGTTTTCCTTTAAGAAATGCTAAATAATTAACTAAACATACTTATCCATAGTTATACTGTATAGAAACTTACAGGAGAGTTTAAATCTAACTTGACAAGTCAGGGGGGGAAAAATCTACTTTGACTGGATACTTTCATGAAGGTAAAACAGAATAGACCTTGTCAACGAAAGAAGTGTACACTCCACAGAGGGAAAGTATAAATCTACTACCTGAAGTAGTAGCCACATCATCTTCACCCCTCCTCTCAAATGCCTCTATAATCGCCCCTCTCTTTCCCTGGCTGGGCTGAGTTCCACTATCTCCCCTCCTAACCTTCCCAATGACAGCCGCAGGGGGAATTGACGCCGAGGCAGACATCCCGGCGAACATGAAGATATACTTTCTCCTCCTTTTTTCTCCCATTCCTCTATCCCTCCCTCCCTCCATCCTCCTGCTGCTCTTCCTCTTTGATACGTGAGGGGGTTTTAACCTCTCCAGCTGCTGAGGTTTGGCCGACTGGCTGGCTGGGGGATCTCAAGGCCCTACTTGGTATGCACTGTCCATGAGTATATGTGTATGTGTGTGTGTGTGTGCATATTGCCTACACCACAGTTTTCTGCAGACTGGGGGAGGGCTGTGAGTCTGATAAGGGCTTCTGGCTGAGTCTGGCTGACCCACGCGGGCCCTTCACAAGCTGTCAGAGCCGTGGCCCTCAGAGGGGGGCCTTTCCATCTGCACTGCCCCAGCCAGGGCTCACCCAGCAGGGGGCTGGATAGGGGTGAGGCTGGGGTGCTACCGGAGCTGGAGGCTGGGGGTGGGGGTGAGAAGGGCGGCTCCATATTCATGAAAGCAACACCAAATCTGTGAGCACTGGAAGAGATTGAGTCGCGGGATTGTAATGTAAGCATTGCTAGCACAATTTACATTTCTCATTGCTTATTTGCTGACAAATAAGCAAGTCTGTTTAGTCAGAGATTCAGCAGCTTTGCAGAGGAAATCCCAGTTTTACATGCTCCACTGGCATAGTTGAGATAGTCAGTAAATACAGTAAATTCAGTGATAAGATGTGTGTCCTTCTCAGACAGATGATACTGTGTTATTGTTTTTCA